ACAAGTGCATCTATTATGTTGCCTTGTTTATCTAAAAGTGCACTTTTCCTTGTTTTAAATCTAGTCAAAAAAACACGTGTTTACTGTGAGACACCGTAGACTTTAATTATATTCATTTATCGTGTAATTACTACATTTCTGTGTCAATCCATGTTCATTTTTACCGCAAACAATGCGCTGTCACTTTAATTCAGCGCATGCATCACAGCAAAACGATCGCTGCACTGCTGCAGATGCACCGCTCCTGGAACACACTGACGGACCGCACCCATGTGCAGTGTGAACACTCTAATCCGTTAACATGGGTGCGTTAAAAAAATGCAACGCACGCACTGCAGACGGAGTATGTGTGAAACAGGCCTTACTCTGCTTGCATTGCATATGCGGTGCGTATTTTTCTGCGCTCGTGATAACGGATTAGCGTTCACATTGCACACGGTTGCATCCGGCAGTGCTTTCAGGAGCAGTGCGTCTGCAGCAGTGCAGAGATTGTTTCCTCATCGAGTCTATTTTTGCTGAATTAAAGTAACAGTGCATTGTTTGCGGTGAATATGAACATGGATTGACACGAAAATGTAGTAATTACACCATAAATGCATATAATTAAAGTCTAAGAATTAGACTTTAGATGTCAACAGAAGAAAGACAGTCATAAAGGTTTGGACAACTTGTGGTTGAGTAAATGATGACTAACCCTTTAGATTCATAAACTGTGAGGCAGGCCAGAATTAGATTTTGAAATGGGTGAATGAACAGCTACATTAAAGTTATGTCATAAGGCTAACATTTTAACAATAAAGTGCATTTCTTAGTTGGTGAATTTATACAAGATGCAAGCGGTGATAGAGTGGATCTATGTTGCTCGATCCATCTGAAGTGGTTCAACCAATGTTGCTGCTTTTTTTTCCATTTAATTTGAATATCCCTTTATGTTGGAAATGCAAAATCACCCGTTTTTTATTTATATTTTGCTTGCTGTAAACACAGCAAAAAAAAGTGTACAGCAAATTGGTCCACCATTGGTAGAGCAGTCTCAGGACAATCAGTACGTTCTTTACCTTCCCCCTCGGTTGAAATCTTTTTCCAGGGTATATGACTGAAAGGGAACTTTACTATTTGCGATTAAAGGGGCAGGGAAACAAAATTTAGCAGGAGCAGGATTAAGCACTCAGTTTGTGCTAGTCTATAATTTAAATTAATAGCTTATATTTACACAATGAGCCAACAATAGCAAAAAATAAGCCTTTTTTAATGAAAGTAAAGGGTACATGCTTTACAATTACTGTGTACTTGCACAACAGCATATAGAGTATGCTGTGTTCATCCTCCTTTGTGTTTTACATCTAACACTTGACAATTTGGCCTTGAAAAGAGGTCAAACCACCTACATAAATGGTAAACTGAAGTAGGAGGCCTTATGATAATCTGTTAATTTTTTATCCAATCAGTTCTGAGAGTTTTTGATCTGAAATCAATGAATATGCATAACAAGAAGAGCATATAATATGTTTACAAACACGTCAGGAGGACCTTACGGAGGAAGGTATGAACTCCTCAGCGCAGTTTGACTGATACACACTGGTCTTAGTCTTCTGTAGTTTACTGTGATTGTCAGATGAACAAAGCAGATAGAATAAGATCATATTAGCATGGTGGAGCAAGACAAGAACACATCAGAGGTTTGGTGTCTCATATTGTGCCATCATCCAGACAGAATCAGGATGATGTGGGTTTATTATACCAAAATGAAAAAGTTTTACGTTATTCTTTGATCTGAATATCCAGGATATAAGAATATACAGAAAATTCTAAAATGAAACTGACATCACAAAAGCAGTTTATATATGATTAAATGAGCTGACAGGGTTTTAAAAGACAGGAATCTTAATAATGATTTATCTGGTTTTATGCCATAAAATAATACTGGTAAATGCATGACAATATGAGAGGAACCCTTTTATTCACAAATAAAGCTGCTGTACACCAAGCATGGGATATCATTCCAGTTGTACATGATGGGACTTGGATTCAATACAACACAGTCCTCATTTCCATTCTGGTCATTCGGCTCACCTTCACGCCAAAACCTGAATAACATGTATTAGATTTTCAGCTATTCACAACCCCAAATTCACAAGTCAACAATACAAGAGTAATCTCAAGCAGTACAGAAGCAAGAGTGGAAGTGAAAGAACAGAGAAGTAACAGAGAGATGAAGAGTTTTGTTGTAAAATAATTCATTGGAAGAGTCTCTGATTGTGGCTGTACTTGTGTCTTCAGCTGTTTTCTAAAGGTTGTGAAATGTGAATAAAATAGACTGGAACAAATACATACTCCGTAATTATCTGTGAGTGTTTCAGCACTTACCCTTGATTCAGTGGTGAATTATCCACCCATTTCATGTGGCCCTTCTTCTCTAAGTCAGACAAACCAATCCACACAGGCACACCAATCTTCTTGATGAATGAAGATACGAGCCTCTGTGTGGGAATACAAACAATGAATAAATGTGATTCCTCTCATTCATTAACAGACACTCCCCTTACGGAAATAAAATGTTCCCATATATGTATGATCAATATATTAAATAGTTTAAATATACTGAAAAAATATGAAACAAATCGTAATATATTACAGTATATTGAATAATACTTACGGAATTGCGGCTTTTCATATATTGGAAAAATATGTGAAAATATATTTACTATTTCTGTAAATGTAATTAGTTGTGTTTAGTTAGAAAGCTGGAGCCCTTAAAACCGATTGCCTTAAATTTCTCAAGCATGATTTACTCAAAGTTGTAAGTTATTAATACAAAGTCATACAAAAGAATATTGGCATAATGATAGACTGTGCCTTTATTTGTATTTATTGAACTGCAGAGACTTTGTGTATGTCTGAAATTGAACTGAATTAATGTAAAAAACATCAACCTAATGAAGTAGTTAATAGACATCACTGCAGTACAGTTACTGTATTTTAAATAAAGCAACATGCAGCATAACATCAGTGTTTCTTGTTCTTCTCCTGGACTGAAGCACACACTCTACTCTTCAGCACAATGGTGACCCACAAAACTCAACAGAAACCCTTTAAATCCCAACAAAACAGATCTCTCAAGATCGCAGAGGATGATTAAACAACTGCACAAATCGCATAACCAGCTGTAACAGATCGGCCAGGCTCCACCACCACCCAATCACAACGATACCTCTCACCTGAGTTCTGAGCACCCGCACCTGTCACCAATCAAGCACCTCATTAACCAGCCTGGATAAAAGCACACACCTCAGACACCCTCATTGTCCGGTCTCGTATACACGTAGAGGACTCAATGACTTTGCTACTACTTCCATTTGAATACTTCCTGCATTACTTACCTCCTGTGTTCCTCGTCTCCTGTTCCTCCTAGTTCACGGATCGCTGAGGTGTGTGCTCCTCCTGCCTGCATTCCAGCTCCTGTAAAGCCAAAGACCCGGATTACCCCACTCATCATATCCTTCGAACTATTCCCTCACCATCACATCCTCTGAACCCTACCCCAGTACTCTCTGTGACCAAATAAACCTATTTTATATATACTAACCTGTTGCGTCAGACCTCTTCCGTTACACCAGCTGCACTTATTCGTTTGACTTTATTTCTGTTATATGTCTACAGAAGTTCTTATTTAAAAATTAACAGAGCATTAGTATTGATGATTTATTGAATGTAAAAAAGCTTGCGGTAACTCAATGTTTATAAGAGTTGTTATGGCAAAAAAACGACATGTAAATCAACAGTAACAGACAAGTGAACTAGGGAAACGCAGGGCTTAAATACAAGAAACAGACTATAGCAACAAACTAGAGCATGAGTGAGTAACCAAGGGAACTAATATGAACTGACAAACTGGAACAGAGCAAACAAAACTAAAACAGTTGTTATAATCAGATAAAATTTAAAAAAAAGCCACATTGTGCACAAAACATTTTGGACTACTACCATTTTTAGACACATACAGACATCAAGAATTGGTGTATGAATCTCAAAACAGCGGTGACATGTCTCATGGTGAAATGCATGTCTTTATGTGTCTAAAAATGGTAGTAGTTCAAAATATTACAATATATTAATGATATTTAAAATGTTTTAATCAATATGTTATTTCATATATATTTAAAATGTAATATATTGCTAAAAAATAAATGAATTATATATATATATATACATACAAACCCACCTGCTTCTGTGTACTCTTGATAATGACCAGATCACCACCATGATCTCTGCAAAACTGCCTGCTGTCAGACCAGCTCATCACTTTCATGATTGTGAAAAACCCATGAAAACGAACCACTCCTAACAAAAACACACAATTTTTAACTGTATATATAGTAATGATACAGTGAAAAAAAATGCTGTAAAATAACAGTAAAATACTGGCAGCAGTGGTCGCCTGGAATGTACTGTTAATTTACAGCTCTCCTTCTTTACAGAATGTTACCGTAATAATACCACGGAAGTTAACTAATTTAATTTGGGAAACAAATTGCTTTGAACCATTCACGTATATAACTAATATGTTTTATGGTGTTAATAATGTGAATTTATTTCATTTGAGTCCACTAAAAAGGAATATTTCTTAGTATAAAATTAAGCTGCAAATACTGCTCAAACACTAAATGTATAATAGTAAAATAGTCAGTGCTAAATTTATAAATTCCATGGTGCCGAAACAATGAGAAGTGACCGATCCTGCAAGTAAGCTCGGTAGGGAAGAGTAACTGAACATATGCGCAATCTCAGTCGGGTTTCTGTCCAATACGCTTGTTAAGTCATAACGTAAGAAAAGCTGTTTCCAAGTCCAAGCCTCTACTCGTTTCACTTGAGAATACTATCACAACAGTCATTTATGAGGACTAGTCTTCATGCTCACTGCATTCCAGACATAAATATTTGAACGATGTATAAAAGTTGAATCACAGTTTGGCCATCTGGGATGTTGGTATGGAGATAAAGGTTAAGATTTACATTTTTTCGGTAGTATTACATCACATCGTGAGTGTTTGTTGTTTTCTTAAGGCATCTTGTTGAACATTTGGACCCTTAAGTGGTGACACATGACAACAGACTTAAGCGGATTATTTTGATGCACATTTTGAAAATGAGCATAAGAACACCTGAATGTAAATGGTTGGCATGCACTTTAAAACTTACAAAAATGTCCAAATTCTGACAGTAACTTACTTTTTTTCATTTAAACACTAATATAATGTAGGAAACAACATCAGCGTCGGCACTCAGAGACGGTCTGAAATCATACCCCGTACCCTCATTTACTATTCCCTACATTACATTCACATACATAGTGAATTCAGACACCTGAGAAAGGAGTTGTCATATGTTACTATAAAAAAAAAGAAGAAAAAAAAAAAAAGACGAGATGAGACA